CAATTGATCGAATTCGAATAAAAAGGTGATATTCGGGATCAGCACAGTCAGGAGTATCCGACTATGTAGTTTTCGGCCAAAAACTGATATAACGCTCGATTTTTGAATTGCGCGCACCTTACCTGGTGTGATGATAATTCATCAATGTTGTGTCAAATACCAAATGAGATTATGTTGACCGTTCACCATCGATTCATGTTTTATATTCATTTTTCTGTGCAAGCAAACGATATGAACGATGGATAATTGAGAGATATATGCGGGAAATCAATCTGACAGATGCTAACCAGTGTATTGTTGAAGTTTTTTGCCCTATATTACTCCCGCCAATTAGATTAAATATTCAGAGCTTAATATTAAGTGATATTGAAACATTTGAAAAATACTTTCACTTCGTTCAGAATCTATTACTCAATTATTTCTCATTTGAAACATGTGGAAATTATTAAACGTTTTGACATTGGTCGATTGTTTATGTATTCTATTCAAACGTTTCGATTATTATTCAGTTTGAAGCTTGAAATAGCTAATTTAAAGTCCGATGAAATGTTTAAAATAATATTGTTTTGTGACCCATCAATGATCACAATTTTGAACATAAAATGTAAAGAATTAATTCTTCAGTTACAAAATCAACCATATAATTTATTATTGACGCTTCGAAAATTAGCAGTAATGTTGGGAAATTATGACGATTTTCTTCATTTACTAAATCACATGGCAGTCATTGAATATATATACGTTACAGTTGACAAAACTGACGACAAAGAAGATTTGAATATATCGAATAAATTTCATTATTTGACTGAATTCTATTTTATTCTTCAAAGAATGGCTACGAACGATAGTCGAATTAATTCTCAATTGAGCTTATTTCGTAAATTACAGCGATTATCAGTAAATATGACGTGTTCCGACTGTCAACAGTTCATTGATGGTTATTATCTTATACGTAACTCCGTTGAATGCACTAAACAAAACTAATTGACGCTCTTACCTCAGTCAGAAACCTATGTGTATACATCTGATTGTGACTTGTTAAAGTATGACTGCGGGGAAATCGTGATGCTTCTGTCTGTTACCCTTCATCATATGTTACTAAAATATAAGGATTTTTAGCGATTGTCGTACTGGAAATGAGTATAATTAGGAGAAGATGGATTTTTCCATGTGCATGTATCTGCAGTCGATTAAGTATCAGTCACTGGTTATTACAATAGTGCAATAGTGTTGAGTATACATTTAATGCTTGTACTCGGAAGTGCGATACAGTTTGGCTTTCTTTAGGTCTAGTCTGAATGAAACAAGCAAAGTTCATTTACTACCGCACACAGATCTGTTTAACATGAAGAATCCAAATCGGTTCATTGACAGTGGTTTGCCACTCATCTCTGCAACATGCTAACAGTACACGCAGTACTTCGAACTCAACGGTAACACCGAAAGATAAATATGAGTTCGTGGAAGTGCAATATCAGCAGGAAACACTTTATGAGAAATATAAAAAGCTTTCGGTTAACTGAAATCGTCGACATAGATTCAGCGTTGAGAATTGAATCTAGAAAACTAAAGTCTGAATACACTAGACCGCCAGACGTCTTCCCAGAACATTTGCAAAGTGTTGGGTCACTATGGCATAAAGTGATACGTCATTCGACGGAGATTTCGAAGCGCTACAAATCTCTGTAAATGTCGGATGAGGTGCGTATCGCCATTTTATGAGAACACTTGATAGGGTTTCTGGAAAATCCGACCGCTAGAAAGCCATATTTTTGTTTTTTGGTCAGAAAATTTTCCTAACTGTATACCTTAATAGAGTGAGGAATTCTAAGGAAAAAGGCTTTTGAAAATCAGAAAAATCAATTTGGTATCCTGTAATACCATTTTCAGCATTTAAAGTACTATGTATGGTTTGGAAAACTTTCTAATCAAAAACCAAAGAGTTGGTTTCTAGTCTTCAGGTTTTCCGGAAACACTGTTATCAAGCGTGACTATTTTTGTTAGAAAGATCGTAACAAGTGATAAAATATCCCAACTTGGTTCATCCTCACGGTGCTTTGTTGCTGAGACACTGAATTTTTAGTACTGTAATTAAAAAGCATACATGCGATAAAATATTGAAGGCGTTGTCACTTGAAAAAGGTAAGTGTTCAGACTCTTTATCGACTAACTTTATTTATTGGTGTCGACAAAAAACTATTATCGTAAAACTTGTTGTCGTTTGTTCTGCAAAAAATAGAAAACCGGTTTGTGTTTACGAAGCATTGTTTACGGTTATAAAAGAATGTCATGAAAGTATATCACATGGTGGAAGAGATAAAACATTGTTAGAAATAAATTCACAGTATTCGCGAGCTCCTAAAATTGCTGTTGAAATGTATTTGAGACGTTGTGTGGCGACTCAAGTCCGAAAACCATTAAAACAACCAGTTGTATCAAAACCAATAATTTCACTAGGAGTGATGACTAGACTACAAATCGATTTCATTGATATGCGTACAAGACCGGATGTAATTTCAAGTGCTCTAGTTTATCGTTGGATTTTGGATTGTATTGATCATTTTTCTAAATTTATATGGTCTTGTCCATTAGAAAACAAATCTACTGAAGAGGTTCCCTCTAAACTCCGTTAATTATTTTTTACTTTTGGACCTCCACATTTGTTACATTAGGATAATAGAGCTGAATTTGTAGCACAGATTATACTTGAATTGAAAAGCTTGTTTCCAGACATGTGTTTCATTCGAGGGAGACTCAGACATCCTCAAAGTCAAGGCTGTACTGAACGCATCAATGGTGTTTTAAGTATTGCATTGGGTAAATGGTTAGATACGAACAATTCAATTCATTGATCAGATGGTCTGCTACCAGTGGTTTATGGAATCAATACAAGAGCATCATTAACGACAAAAACAACGCCATATGAAATAATGTTTGGTCAACGCCCACGATCGGATTCCGATTTTTGGAAAATTGTAAAAGAATGTGATATAATGGATGAAGAACAGTTACCAACCCCAATCGAACTCGCTGATGTTGTTGTTGATGAAATTGTTGAAAAACCAACTATAAATGAAACTGTGACTGACGATTTTGATAAACAAAGAGAAAATGATAATTTAACTATAGATAATTTCATTCCTG